ATAGACGCTCGAAAGCGAAGGAACATTAAAAAATCTTTTAATCGAATCACAACTTAAGAAGCGTCTGAGACTCACCTTGTCAGAAGTTAGTCCTACCCTTTATCGAAAGTAAAATCCACCCCTAATAGAAGATAGGATAAACTCGTCACTTGGGTTCGATTCCGACGAGCATGAAATTATTATTTGCGAGAGAACGTGAACGTCTACCGCGCGCGGACCGACGTCGTTGAAATCGCGAGCACGTGGACAGCGATGACTTCTCGAGATCACGAAGAATTTTCGATCCGAGCCGTCTAACGGTTTGCCACGAGCGGTGGTCACGCGATCGAACTCCGCGCGTGAACCCGCGGCGAGAAGCGCAGCACGTATATCGACGGAACGATGACTGACGTTAGTGGCCCGAGCGTAAGGGTCGCCTCTTCGGTCTGTTCTTTTCATTCCCACCCCCGCGGCAACCTGTCGGCCCCGTCGATCCGCTGGGAACCCTCCGTACAGGCAGAGGGGTACCAAACGTGGACCAATCGCCGCGAGGGCGACCGCGGCGCAGACGTTCCTCCGTCGCGACGCGTTTCCGTTTGCCCGCGTCGTGGCCATATTTTTTCCACCACCGAGCTTCGTAATCGTATCAATTATTCAGATTTCAACGACTGGCTACCACCGTCGGCCACCGGAAATCGCCCCGTGACCACCGATGAGAATCCGCGTTCGTTCCAGAAATTCTTTCGTTATCGAAGATCGCGGAACCAACGATTAGTACACGTAGTGACTCATCGACGATTTAATTAAACTTTCATCGGGCTAAACGGCGACCCGCTCGGAATGCCTGTTCATTTTCCGTCGGGTTCATCGAATGACCAGACACGTTTTTCATTACGAACTATTCTGATCGAACCCGGAACGATAGTGGAAAATGATTCGTTAGGAGCTGAGACCAAAATGAGAAACTCTTCTGCTTCTTTAATTCGACCTTGACTGTTCAGCAGTCTTGGTAATCGGAACATGAAAGATGTATTAGTTGAGGAACTACGACTATAATGAGAAACGTCAAATAGAATGCGAAGGAAAAATTAAGTTTCATGGCGAGATGCAAGGGACGTTTGTTCACCAATGCGATCCACGTTCAATATAATTCATTATTCATCTTCTGTTCGTTCAGTTCATCGTCATATTCAAATGAAATTTTGATACTCGATGAATATTTTTTTATGCCAGTAGTTATTAGCATTTATTGTTTAGTCGCTGTCGATGTAAAGACTCGTATTAAATAATAGAGAATTCCTGACGGTACGCAGATGTCCAATAATTTGTTCTACAACCCTCGTTTCCAGTCAATACACAGTGTAGCATATTTCAAGAATATAGGTCATCCGATAAACTTTGTTCGAATTACACCATTTCAGTAAATCCTATTTTACGTCGTTTCATAATTATCGAAGTACTCCGACGACTATTGCATTTAAGGAAATGATTCTCAAACGCACGAGAGATCTCTAAAATGACGAAACGACGTTTAGAGTCTTTTTTTTTAAAAAAAGACGTGCTCAGTTCTCGATATTCTTGAATTAATTAAAATAATAATTAATAATAGTGTTAAAATTAGTGTTAAAATTCTTTGATCTCTGACACCGTTTCGTCGATCGCGAGGGTGAAGATCTTAAGAACCGCCAAGTATCTAGGCTGTGTCGTACGTAGATGCTCGTGCATTATTGTTATCGAGTTTACCCAAGACGACCATGGCACCGTTGCGTTCGCGATCGCAAGAGATTCGAAGAACTCGGAGTAATAATTAATTGAAACACGGCTCGACGAAGTATTCTCTCTGGAGGGATAAGAGCGCTGCGTCCCATTTAGCAGATCATAGTTTAGTATTCTCGCATTGGTCTGTTTCGTTTAAAAACGACTAGAATCATTTGTAGCAATATTGTTGAAATATTCTTTATTATTGAAATATTTTTATTTTCTTTTACTCGGACACGCAGTAGAAATACATTCGTCATGAGTTTCAATCCTCAATTGGGATTGAAATCCTAGAGACATCAATGCCGGAAGTAGACGGGTCATTTATGCATCCTAGGGAAACTATTATAAACGAAATCTCTTATTTGGTACATTAAAATGGGACACCTCGTAGAATCTTGATATTCGATCGGTACGAGGGAAGTTTCGAGTGCCTTGGAAAACAAACGTCTCGTCGAGATACGACGATCTTTTATTTAACAGACGTTCGTCAATCGTTCGTCCGCGTAGAAGTGATTTTTCGACGAAAGCGAACAGACGCATCTACGAAATACGTTCATTTCGAGACCTCAGAAGCATTCGATCTCATCGTACGGGTTCCTAACATCTTTTGCCGAAAGATAGTAAGGTGAAAAATCGTTTCGCGGATTTCTGATCGATCGTATTACGAGTATCGTCACGTTGCACGTGTTTTCGTTCGAGCAGCGAAAAAATGTTGCGAGGACGTTTGTCGACGGTTGCCTTGGTCGTGACGATGTCCATGATACTGTCGTGCTTCGGATTTATCCCAGATCGTACAGGTAACGCGAGAGCTCTTCATTTATGTCGCCTACGATTAATAATAATTCTACGTAGAGACGTCTCTGTCTCTTCTCGCGTCTCTCCGTTAGAATTGCAAGAAATTTCTAATGAACATCCGGGTTTTTTCTGTATATCTTTGAACGGTTTCGCGGGCGTCTACTTCAGTGAATATCCCGGCTACCTGGAACGTGGCACCCTCGTTAGAGATCGACCCGAAGGTGACGATCGATCGTGATCCAAACGCGAGAACGGAACTGGTCAGCGAGCAGAAGAGTCTGCAAACTTTGACGACGAAAGATTCGAAAGATTCGAAGGACACGACGAGGAGCGTCGAGCAGACGAGTCCCGCGAACGCGAATCGCGAGAAACGGTTCGATTATACGGTCGAGGGAACCGATGCTCGTTTCTCGAAATTGTCGGAGAAGGGAGAGAACGCGGAGAGCGAACACGTCGAGAACGTCGTTCCCCGAAACGTCGTCATGATCGTCGCTGAGCCCGGTGAAGATCGGAAAGATTTCTGGAAGAACTTCACGGCTTCGCATCCGTTCCCCGTTGAAGCGACGCTTCAGGTATCGACGAGAGCAGACGACCTCGTGTAAAATTGATCGAATCCCATTTTATTCAATTTCTTTCATGAGTCGGGAAACTCTTTTAAAATAGAACCTCCAGATTTTGTGCCTTTCACCTTTTAAACATTGCAATTACTATGCATCGCGTTTCTATTTTGCATTCTGTTTCTGCATTCGACTTGCTCATGCATACGTAAAATCCGCAACCACTTCGGTGTTCGATCGTACAATAATGCGCGTGACGATTGAACGACAGAGTTGTAGTAACGCTGAAGCGACTAGGACGAGATTCTCTTTGGACGATGCGTTGATTCCGGGGAACAGGGATAAGAATCGCGATTGCGAGCACTTGCTGCGTTCGAACATCGTCAGCTTGCTGTTCTGGGCCAGAGACGTGAAAGGAATGACGACAGGTTCGTCACGCGATCGGCGTACTTTTATTACCTTACGTGATCTTTTAATTTGTACATCCGTCGTCGACGTCAGGAACGTTGTCGAACTGTACGTTCAGGATCCCGTCGTTGTTCGGATACGAAGAGTCCGTAGGATTTTCGAAAGAGCTCGACGAGATCGACGAGAACAACATGAGACCGGAAGTTCGTAGACTCAAGCCGGAGATCCGTGGGGACTGGCATCTGATCGATTTAGGGAAACCTGTGAGCCGAGCTTCTTCCTTGGTCCCCGTGCAGAGTACCCGCGAGGACGGTGAGAATTCAATTCACTCGCCGAGTCCTTGAACTAGAATAAAAGCGCTCGTCGGTCGAACAGATGAGGCCGCCTGGAACGTCTTCGACGTGTTCTCCAAGATAAGGCTGGTCCTCTTCCGGTCGCTCCTCGAGTCCCTCGGTGGTAACGCGGCGTCGGAAGATTCGATTCAGCCTCGCAGATCAAATTTGCTGGACATGGTCGAGGAACTGAGGTCGATCGGGAACGAGAAGGGTTTCATATTCGTCTCGTCGGTCTCCGGCAACGAACTCGATTCCGCGTTGGATCTTCTACGCCGCGAAGTAAATTATTTCGAAAAATTTGATCGACGGTCCGCGGATCGTGCAAAATAAAATACGTCGATCGGAAATTGAAGGTGTCTCAGGATACGCTGGTCGTGGTGACGGGGGTCTGCTCGCACGACGCCAAACCGGTGCCACTGTTGGCCCAAGGGCCGTCGGCCAAGACGCTTCGCGAGGCGTCCACCGTCTGGGACGTTCCTAACGCGATCAAGAACATCGTGGCGAACGGCTGCCAGGACGACAACTGCAAATCTCGACGACACGACGTTCCTCCACCGGCCCCGTTGAAGATCGTCCCGCGCACCGTGCCCGTGTTCAGACGATCGTCACGAGACACTGTCCCTAAATCAGTGAGAGACCACAATTCTCTTTTATCGGTGTCCATAATCTCTCGGCTTTCTCTTTACAATTCGTCACCTCTCGCCGCGTTTATGCAACAAACGTAGAGACAGAGACTTGTGCGCGACGGATGTAGAGGCGACAATATAGAAAGAGCGAACTATCGGTCGGTTCGAGTGACGACAGTTGAAACTGTCCAAGAATACTCGCGAGTACAAATAAGCCGCGATTATAAATAGCAATCCTTCCATAGTGACCTAGGCATTGAACCTGACAATGAGAAATGGTGCAGTAGCTACGCGTTTGTTGTTAGAAAAATCCATACCGTTTCGGTCGATTTAAACGAACAACAGTAGAGAATTATTTTGCTGTTTAAAATTGCGTATGATCAACGACGGACAAATGATTCAACTATTTATTTTAATAATCGTGGAAAACGTCTTGCTTCGAATTCTGTTCATATTCTTTTAGATTGTGAATGCTCAGGGATTCGATCGAGAGATCTCACGTTCTCCCGTTGAATCGCAGAATGTATCGACGATCCTTCAAATTAAAACTGATTATTATATATTAAATGGGAAGTCTTGGCGAAGTTAATCCTGACCTTAAGGGGTATAAGATCAATCAATCGAGCTTTCTGACACACGTTAATTCCGCGAATATACTCTTACGAATCGATATATACAAAATGAAACAAGACACGTTTCCCTCATGCATTTTGTAACGTTACATTCTGTCGGCCACGGAAGGACGGCGTTTAACTTTATTTAAATTGATCGTTGCCGAAATTTATATAAAATTAATATTAACGACTGCGCACTGATTTTTATGGCAGGACGCCGGGAAGAAGGCTACGTCGGCGATTAAGGTGAGGGAAAAGCGCGTTGCTTCGTAAATTGCATTATGTGTTTACATGTTGCGAAAGGGAAATAAGCACTTTCACTGCTGCGTCAGACGACGCGAAGCTGTATCAATTTTCTTTCATTATCGCTGCCGACGAGCAGCCACGGTCTAAACGTTTCTATCGGCAATTATATAAATAATTCTAATACGAAAACTGTATTTTATAAAATGCAATTACGTCAGACGTTCTGCATTAGATCTGCACTTTAAATAACGTTGTTCCTTTTCGTTTGAACAGGACGAAGTTAAGAAAGTCGCCGATCTGGATACAAAGGTACTCTCCTTAATTCCAACGATTATTACTTGAATCGAAGTTAAAACCAGTTTCGTTTGCCAAATTATTTAATGTGCCATTTCTTAATTAGCAGGACGATGCTAAAAGTGTCGCCGAGTCGAATGCAAAGAAGGTATAATAATATTTGATCTTAAAATTCTCGGTACTCTGTATAAGTCGAAACTAGACGAGATTATAAACGTGTCGAAGGTTGTATGAGCCGTGAACTCTCCGCCAAAAATTTGAGACATTTAATAAAAACCTGTGTTCAATATTTGAACCAATGAACTCTTAGAGAAGATTACAATTACAGAGATGGAAGGTTTATTAAATTGTTCTCAGTCATAGAGAATTTTTAATGCATAATTTCTAATATTCTAATAACAGTTTTCACGTTTTTTTAATGTTTTACAATTCTTGCTTTTACATACTTTTTATTATATACCTTAAATAATATTCGAGATAACTTTTTTAATAGGCTCGCAAAGTAATTGTTAGAATTTCAATGCTTCGTCACTGTTTTTATTCAAGGGTTCATACAACCTTGAGTATAAATACGATTCCTAAAAATTGTAACGAGTCCCGTTCACTTTGACTGAAAGTAATTGAAACGATTTCATAGGAGGAAGGAGCAAAGAATGAAGCGTCACCGAAAATCGAAAATCGAAACTCGGCGAAATCTTTGGAAGCGGAAAGATCAACCATGCTCATTGGAACGTTCGTTTCGATGATCGCCGCGTTCACCTTGACTTCCTAAACTCTATTTTCCGATTGCAACTTTTCATTTTCTCTCGCGTCTCTACAAACTGTCTCCTGAAGTTCTATGATCTCTGTCAAAATTGTAATGAATAAATGCATATGACGAAGCGGCCGTTTCTCATTTTACGCACTAAACGGAACTTACAGGAGTAATTGACCCAGTAACGCAGGCGATTTTATGGACGCGTGCAATATCACTGTGCTCTTTCGAAAGGCAAACATTTCGGTGGTTATTAGGG